TAACGTGATGACGTTTGAAGTAGACGATAGTGTAGTGGGTTCGAGTCTAGGAGTGAACATCAACTGTGGGATGTAGGTACATTCATCTGAAGAGTCCCAAATAGGAGGAGACGTGCATCAAACTGGATTCCACTACTAGCCACTATTCATCTTTGCTTAAACAGCTTAACTTAAGACTATATCGAGGCAATCTGCACAGAATGCATATATGCAAATAAGAGACTGATCAATTGCAGTCCTAAATAACAGTAGGAAGATAGAAGTAAAGCAACACCAAATGAATAATAAAATTTGTTCATTATTTAGTTCAATTTTCATGTTCATTAGTTGCAATAAAACATTCTTTATAAACCATAATTAATGAACGATCTTCGACTAATGACAAAATAACATAGAGACAAATAACCTACTTACTAGAATCAGTAGTAGGTCATTAATTAGTAGGAGAAATTAGGATTAAGACTAGATGCTATTTAAATATATGATCATAGTTGAATTCATGAGTCAATCTAAGCTAGACTACCATTGAAAATCTAGAACACATTAACACCGTTGAATGCCGGCTCAGTTCTACAGGTTAAGCGTTTGCATGTGAGACCGAAGGTCCTGAGTTTGAGTCTCTTGTGCTGGGTTGTGGATGTGAACTGTTGAGGAATCCCATAATAGTAGGAAACGACCTACCAGTGCTTCCAGGTTTTCAATGAATTATGATATTATCAGAATGAGGATTTGTGGAGTCCTATAGTAGGACGCAACGAACGTCCAATGCTTCCATTTTTTCAATAAAAACCTTGCTTAGATCGACTAATGAATTCAACTGTTAAAGTTATGATGATAATATTTTCTAAACCATTCGTTTGGAAAGAGTAAAAAATCATTTGACTCAGTATTATGTCTTGTTATTCTGGCTTAGTACGACCTACGATGTTACGGATTTAGGAACGAAAACGATTGAACGTCTCTAATATTATCGTCTCGCTTGGGAACTGACAACAGTCAATTATGCTCAGCACATCAAACCTTGACGACCAAGACAGGAGGAAAACGGAATTGCAGGTAACTTGATATATGTAGTAGAACAAGCAACTCAAACGAAATTAGTACAAAAGTCGTTAGCAGAATATAACCTTCGAGCATGTGGCAATTTAGTAAAGTAAAAAAAAAAACACGACAACCAATCAGAGGGCGAAGATCATGCAATCATGCGGCTATCGTTCCAAAAAAGATCTTAGCCTTCCTAACAAAACCTGACTATTCTGGAAATCACCTTAGCACTCAGTGAATGCATCAATGCTATTCATATAATCTTCTTGTGCTATAAATATTCGCAAACATGTCCGTCAGTCAACAACAACGCGGGACTTCGTTCGTACGTACATCAACTCTAGTTACTATACAACATTAACACAGAGATTCAGTTATCGACTCAAATCCCATAGTGTCGGAGTGAACAAGAACACCAGTGAGGACAATCGAATGTATTTAACATAAATTTCAGGACATGTTAATATAATCTAACAATCAAATAGTAAATACGTAATTTGCAAAATGTCCATCAATTGTCTCAAAATGACTCAGATTTCATTGTTCTTGCATTTTCATACAAATTGCATTCTGTTTCCATTCTTTACTGATCGATCCTCTTGTTTCCTTGCTGCCAGACCTTCTGTTCACGACTAACATCATTTACTACTTATGTCAATATAAGTAGCACACACCACAGTGGTAGAGGTAGTAAGAGTATAAGCAGTTATCGAAAAGATTAAGGTGTGAAGATGTTATTCAAGGAGTATAATCCAGCGAAATAAATTTGGAAAGAGAAAAAAAGAAGGATACATGAAGAACTCAGAAGATTATAATTTGGTGGAACATAAAGAATGGATGCACCTGCGCACACCAGTACAAACAATTTTGAACCATATCATTCAAGATCTCTAACCATCGGTTGTTATCATCTCACAGATCCTAATGAGATCGTCTACACCTGTCAACATGGCTCAGTTCACTTGTCAATGACTTCATGGATTTGTGCCATGTTTTGGTTTGGCTACACCTAGTTTTCTTCCAACCTACTCCTATACTATAAAACATCACTCGTCTGAGCAGTCGGTGTTTGGGCATACGTAAAACGTGTTCCAGTCATCTCAACTGATGAATTTTCACTACTTCATCGATTGATTTATCATCCTTACCCAGTACCCGTTTCCTAACAACTGGATTCCTTACTCGGTGGTCCCAGGATATACGAGCAATGCTTCAATAAAACTTATGATCGAATACTAGTAACCTACGAATATCCTCTACTCTTACCGGCCATGTTTCACTGTCATAAAGTAGGACGTAACGAACTACATAGCAGTAAACCCTTCATTCGTTTGGGAGACGGATATCTCGTCTACACCATAAATGAGGCAAGTTGGCGAAAGCGGCGAGACTCTAATTGATGGACGACCTTTGAACGACTCGTAATTGACCTTGAGAAATATTAGCCAATCAGCAAACAGTCAGCATAGAGTAAAAATACGTTATACAAAACCAAGGTAGTAAAGTGGATACACTTCTTATACGTAGTTCAAAACATTGTCAAGGTTAAAAAGAGGTTCAGAGGTTCTAAAATCCTAATGCATGCAGTAGAGGAAATCATTCACATGTCTACAGAATAGTCGGCCTCTGGAGCCACGATGAAGTTTCAAACACTCTTTCAGTCTCGACTACATAGTTCCAATATTGTTTATGTGTACTTCGGCTGTTGAATATACAAAATGCTACTTATGGATAACGACACGATGCACATAACCAAGTCTACGTAGGAGTCTGTACGCTTTCCAAACATCCGTATATATTGTAGTACCTGGACGCAGCCAATTTTACTGGTGCTTTTATTATCCAGTTTGCAATAATTGTCATAATTTGCCTTAGTTAGGAATTATATATAAATAGGGTTTTCATCACGAATTGACATCAACTATAATGCCAGAAATTTATCTAGCCAAATGGATGGAAGGCTTTCGCGTTAAAATCCGAGATCTATTATCTTATACCTGATCGATTCGTCCACAAACTATGGTCCCGCCGTTTTATTTATTATAGCCCCTCAATTCTCACGTTTTGTACAAAATTCCCTGTAAACCGATCATACGTTAGCATTAAGTACTGAGGTTGGCACCGTAACCTTGAAATCTCTAAAACGCTTCTGATTGGCTCGTTCATAAATGAGAGTCTCGCTGCAAAAGCTAATCGATCTTTCTGTATCCATGTTGAGATTTCGTCACACACAAACACACACACCATACCACAAAAGGTGATGAGACTCCGATATATATATATATATATATATATATATATATATATATATATATATATATATATATATATATGATATAATGTATGTGTAATCGTAGGCAAACGAAAGTCAAATATCCATATTATCATCTCATTATTATCAAACAGTATATTTTCAGAATGAGCTTTGTGGAGATTTTTAGAAATTTCACAGGTTGAGATCATGAGTCAGTTGAAGCTAGACGAACATGGAAAACATGGAAGCACTGGACAACCGTTTCGTCCTAGTATGCGACCCCTTAGCAGTGCGCACCCATGATCCCGCACCCCTCAACATTCGAACCCAGGACCTATTGGTTTCGCGCGCGAGCACTTAACCATTAGACCACTGAGCCGTCCAGTTCTTCCAGGTTTTCCATGATGGTCCAGCTTCAAATGACTAATGACTTCAACCAGTGAAATTTCTAAAAATCTCCACAAATCCCATTCTGATAATATTCATGTGCTCACTAGTGACTGACTTCAGGAGATACTCCTGGAGTTCTAGTGAGAAGCACTGACCAGTGGAGTTCAACCAGGTCTATTGTGAGATTTCAACTCACTGAAGATAATGGTGTATGGTGGTGCAACTTCGTGAAATAGTATATTTATATATTATTAACTATAAGGCAATATTATTACTTACTTATTTTGGTCATGTGTAATGAACCATGAAGTCAAGTATGTTAAGCACACTTCCCCCCCTTTCTCTCTCTCTCTCTGTTTCTATCTATCTAATGACTAAACAAAAACTAAATGAGTTATGCTTATGATTATTTGTTACTATTCAACGATATATGTCATATTCATATTCATTCAATGGAATATAATGAATGATTAAGGATAATAAAGCGTGTGAATTGATTCAATTGTAGTTTGAGTGTGTGTGTGTTTTTTCCACATCAATGAATCTTTTGTATTTATCTTATTGTTTAAGCGGCATATGTGAATTCTAGTTTAGGCTTAAGCTTACATTACTATCATTACTATTATGATATTACTTATTTACTAACTATTAAATAGATTCGTTTTTATCTAGTTATCTATCTATACTACTTAAGTAGTTAATCAACAACACAATGGTACACATACACAAACATTTATGTATGTATCTCTATGTGTGTGTGTGTATGTATGTAGGTATGTGTGTAGGGTTGTGTATCTGTGTATATATGTTAAAAGTAGTTAGTTTAATTTTGTTCATAGAAGAGAGAAGTTTTATTACTGAAAATGAAAAGAAAAAGAAGGAAGCATAAAACCAGACCATTTTTGTGCCTTTTTTTTCAATGTTCAAAGGTCGTCTATGTTTTGTTTTAAAACAAATCGTTCTATCTATTTTTACTCATACACGTCTGTGTGTGTGGACTCGTAGGTGTGTGTGTGTGTGAGTGTGTGTGAGGGTACACGTGTTTTCCTAATGTAAATGTAAGTATTGTATGTGGCAACTTGTCGTTATGCTTGAATATCCTCGATAGCATTATTATTGTTATAATGATTATTGTGATTATTTTATTCTATACTACTGAATAAAAATGAATTGAACTTAGTAATCTATAAACTATACCATCGTATAGATTGTTCTCTTATTTTAAAAAAATATATAAAGAAGGGAAAAAGAAAATCAACAATGTCTGTTTCATTGAATGGTTCAGTAATATAATGCGAAGAATGCTTAAAAAATGTACTTATTTAGGTCAGTGTATAGATGCATGTACATTTTACCATCATCATCATCATCACCATCATCATCATCATCATCATCATCATCATCATCATCATCATCATCATCATCATCATCATCATCATCATCATCATCATCATCATCATCATCATCATCATCATCATCATCATCATCATCATCATCATCATCATCATCATCATCATCATCATCATCATCATCATCATCATCATCATCATCATCATCATCATCATCATCATCATCATCATCATCATCATCATCATCATCATCATCCAAATCATCATCATCATCATCATCATCATCATCATCATCATCATCATCATCATCATCATCATCATCATCATCATCATCATCATCATCATCATCATCATCATCATCATCATCATCATCATCATCATCATCATCATCATCATCATCATCATCATCATCATCATCATCATCATCATCATCATCATCATCATCATCATCATCATCATCATCATCATCATCATCATCATCATCATCATCATCATCATCATCATCATCATCATCATCATCATCATCATCATCATCATCATCATCATCATCATCATCATCATCATCATCCAAATCATCATCATCATCATCATCATCATCCAAATCATCATCATCATCATCATCATCATCATCATCATCATCATCATCATCATCATCATCCAAATCATCATCATCATCATCATCATCATCATCATCATCATCATCATCATCATCATCATCATCATCATCATCATCATCATCATCATCATCATCATCATCATCATCATCATCATCATCATCATCATCATCATCATCATCATCATCATCATCATCATCATCATCATCATCATCATCATCATCATCATCATCATCATCATCATCATCATCATTTTAAATCTTATTTTTAGGGATAAGATAATACAACATGCAATGAATAATTTACGAACAATACCAAATCAATTTAAACTTCCCCCCGTTGCGCAAGTAAATGGCTATCAGCACTCAGTAGGTAAGTGGATAACGTGATGTCGTTTGAAGTAGACGATAGTGTAGTGAGTTCGAGTGCAGGAGTGAACATCAACTGTGGGATGCAGGTATATCCAACCGACGAGTCGCAAATAGGACGAAATGCGCGTCAAACTGCATTCCATTACTAGACACTATTCATCATTCCCCTCTATAATTTTAAAATCTCAATTTATACTTCCTATTCATAACATTACGTTCGAATCGAACTCAAGACTCGTTAATCTAGCTAAACAGTCTAAGACCGACGAAAGAGAGAGATAACGTTATCATACATGAACATATTATATCATTCACAGTTCATTACATACGCACGAGGCAAGCCCTAACTTAGAATCCTGAAGGGAAGCGGAAAAGAGGAAGGCCAAAGAACACATTACGTCAGGAAATAGAATCTGATATGAAAAGGACGAATAACAACTAGAAGTAGCTAGAAAGGATTGCCCAGGGCAGGGTTGGATGGAGAATACTGGTGAGCGGCCTATGTTTCTTCACGAGGAGTAACAGACGTAAGTAAATCAGTCACTGCATACGCAAATAGTACTCTAATTGATGTTAATTCACATTCGTTTCAGTTCACTGTACATTGTAAATTAGATAATTTTAAAAAGAAGTGAATTCCTAATTGATTTATTTGTCATTTCAGTAGTTTAATTCATAAGTCAATTGAAGATAAGACCATTATAGAAAACCTAGAACAACTGGATAGCCGTTTTGTCCTATTTTAGAACTCCTCATCAGTATTGATATGATGGAAAGAAAAATCAATTTCCGATTGAATTACTCATTATGAGTTTTGGTTCAATATTCAACATCCGTTTTGATTCAACATGACGATCATTCAGTGTAGTTGTTGTTACTGTTATCCCAGTATAATATTTTCTTCTGTATAATATACGAGATATTCTTGTATTCAGTTGACATGAACTATGTTCAGTAAGTGATTTGTTATAACTGAATATGTGATTTCATCCTAATTATTAATCAAAATAGGTGTACAATCAATATATAAACCAGTGTATTTTAGACTAGATTTCGATTCGTCGTTGTTATAGTGTTTTGGAGCTAATAAATCATCACTTATACCAGTCTTTGTGTTCTTATTTTCGTATCGTGGGAATTACCGTGGTCCCTTGTTCCGAGTATAAGTGATCAGCGCATTTTCTGGCAGAGCAATCAATGACGACTGAATATAACAAGTATGCATTCACAATCCTGTTTCGCGGGATTTATTTGTCTATTCATTCATTCAGTCAGTCAGTCAGTTACTGATTTCTCCGTTTGTAACATTTCACTAAAATACAGTTATTCTCAAAGGTATAATATAAACATATATTTGTACTGTAAATCTAGATAAGCTCACTCACTCACTCACTCACTCACTCACTCACTCACTCACTCACTCACTCACTCACTCACTCACTCACTCACTCACTCACTCACTCACTCACTCACTCACTCACTCACTCACTCACTCACTCACTCACTCACTCACTCACTCACTCACTCACTCACTCACTCACTCACTCACTCACTCACTCACTCACTCACTCACTCACTTATTCACCATCTTTATATTCCTTAATACTTTCTGTAATTATCATCATATGAATTCTACAATCTTCTATGGACGTATATGATTATAGATAAAGGATAAAATACTTTTATTTCTATTCTAGTTTTTATAAAAAGGTATTCAACAATCATAGTAACTATATTATTCATTTCCTGTGTTTATATAGATATAGATATATGTGAGTATAATCATCGGTTAATCTTATCTTCATTTACCATATTTCTTAATTCATTACTTTGGTAATACACATGTAGATAACTCAATGTATGCATGCATGTATTTGTGTGTGTATATATATGCTCAATTAAAATGAGAGGGGGGGGAGAAAGAGAGGGTATATACATTGTATAAGATCAAGATTATAAACAAATGAGTAGCCATGTTGAATTATTTATACCTTAAATAACCTCTCTCTCTCTCTCCCTCTCTCTCTCTAGATTACCCTATTCACACATGGAATCTCTTTTCTTCTCAAATACGTGTTTCTTTTCTTTTCTTTTTCCTTTCTTTACTTTTCTCTTTTCTCTTTTCTTCTTCTTCTCTTTTTTATGAGAAACAATAAAAAATAACAACCATAATGACAAACATAAATAATTCCGATAATCATAATCATAATAATAAGGTAATAAAAAGTCTAATTCATGTGTCGGGAAATCAAGAAAAAAAAAGTTTTTTTTCTTTTATGAAATAAATAAATAAATAAATAGAGGAAGTAGGTAGGTAGGTGGGTAGGTAGGTAGGTGGGTAGGTAGGTAACTTGAATCTAATTGAAAAACTTTATTGAATTCTCACCTTGAGTGACTGATCTATTTACTCCTTTCAAATATATACATATATACTTTAATAATTTAATCATGATATTTGTCCTTGATGAAGGGTAAGTAACTAAGTAAGTCAGTGAGTGGGGGAGGGAGGAAGTGAGTGAGTAAATGTGCTCGGAAGAGAGAGAAAGAGCGAGGGGGGGGGGGGTGGTTAACTCGTGGACAAACTAACAAAGTGTAAAAATAAAAGAAAGAAAGAAAGAAAGAAAAGGAAATAAAATATAACCAAGGGTAAATTAATTGTTTATAAAAGTTCTTTTCATTGTTACAGCAGTTGTTTTTTGTTATTTTTATTATCAAATCACGTGTTTTGATTAGCATAAATTGAATAATGAATTTAGAAAAGAAAACAGCATGTCTGACAATGACCATAATCAAAAATTATAAAGTTAAGTTGATTTTATTCAAAGTGTTTTACTTGTGTAGGATACAAACTGATATCTTGGCATTGTTTTTTGGCTTATATCTTCCCATTGAAGTTTAAGACTACAATTGATCAGTGTGTTATTGGCATATGTGCATACGGTGCTGTATACTGAAATGTAGGTACATTTAACTGACGAGTCCCAAATACGACGAAATGTGTGTCAAATTGGATTCCATTGTTAGTTACTATCTATTATTGCTTACCAAAAAACTGGTATCTGTTTCATTCTGATGTAAATCTTCTCATATAACATGAAGAGTGGGACTATAAGGTTTCTTGGTGAGAGTTTAACCATTATAACCATTCGATTGAAGTATATTGGTATACTTTCAACATTAATTACTTAGTAAAATCATTCATGACTTACTTTAAAACATTTCTGAAGCTTTATTGAATTGTGAACAGGGGAGTTCAGATATATAATTATCATCAATGGTAATAGATGATGATCTAGCTATATAACAAACTGTGATTAAACTTGTAATCTGAACAATAGATACTGATGCATTTGTTCTTATGGGTAAGTGTTTGTTATTAGGCTTAAAGATCTTATATTCAATATCGGTTGTGGTCTTGTAAGCTCATTGATCAGAATTATCATCACTAAAGAACATAAATATTGGTACAAAGTTACACCGAATACATATGCACTACACAAGTCACTTGATTTGTGTGTGGTCTATGATACATTTCGGGTTCCCAGATCGAAACAAGTGATTTTTTAGGGGGCCACACCCAGAGTCTTCGATCTAAAGGTTTGATCTGCAAGGTAGTAGAACAACATAAGAGGATGCAAGCCCGTGGTAGCCGGTGACCAACAATTGATTCATACATCTTTTGTTTCTCTAAAATCTTAAAGCGCATGTGCACCATTGGTTTGGAATGAGTGCTTTCTAACTCTCCTAGGTGGATGCTCGATATCCACCAATCCGGTTAAAGTGTTGAGCATTCGCTTTTCGTCCTCTCAATTTCGTAAACAACGCCATCGATGAGAGAAGGCTGTGAGTACGACTTACCTGGTAGTGGTTTTATGATTTGACCATTTGAGAGCATCTGGAGAGGGAGAGTTGATTTTCCCCGCCACCGACCGTACCAGAGTACTCGGGGGATCCATGAGAGATAACAGATATAAGTAAGTAAGTAATTGAATTTGTATACTCATGACTTCAATGTTATTCTATATTGATCTATAGAAATTAAATGATGAAGTCAAAACATCAAATTGTTTGACATTTTAATAGTGATGTATTTTATGTGGTATAAATGAATTTCCTGGATTACGACGTCTTAATTTCCGACAAATCTTTTGTTGATTACTTTACTTGAATGTCCACTCAGTGGTCTAGATGTTAAACGTTGATGCAAGAGACCGTAGGTCCTGGTTTCGATTCCCTTTGATGGGAGATCGTGGAGTCTTATATAACGACGAAATGGCCATTCAGTAGTTCCAGGTTTTCAATGGTGGTCTAATATTAATCAATTCATGATCTCAACTAAAAACACCTTACTTGGATATTGTATTCAATGGTCCTTTACTAAAGGACTATTCAATAAAGAAGAAGACTACTACTGAAGAAATCGTCTAGTCTGTTTACAATTCGATCAAGGTTAATTATGAAAGCTAGTACTCTCCATGTCATTTAGCCCATAAACATTGACGCTGGGTTATTTGAATAAAGACTTATTCAAAATTGTGAATACATCTCACTCTTACAGGAGGTCAGTCGAGCCCCAAAAATGCTCAGTGGTAACGTCTCTGACTGTGAAGCTGGATGATATGAGGTCAAATCCGTCAGGGGACACCAGTTGCCTCAAGATAACAGGTTATTTCGTCGAAAGTATAGAGTACAGGTTTTTCATTTGACGTAGTTTGCTGCGTTAGGTACGTCATCGCCTGGCTCATCACTTTAGTAGCCCGAAATGTGACTTCAATAGCAATCGATATATAGTCTAATTGAAGTCAGATTCCGAGACACTAAAATCGATCATGTGAGATATTCTCTTGATTCTCTCGATAGTCAATTTTGTAATCACATTTTTTATGA